TCGGGGCCGTGAGGGGTGGTGAGCAACGCGGGGTGGGCGGGGCCGTGAGGGGCGGGGGCGATGCGGGGGCGGGGCCGTGGAGGGTGAGGACGACGTAGAGGCAACAGGGGCCAGGGACAGGGCTGTGGAGGGTTGGGGGCGATGCGGGAGCAGGACTGTGGAGGGTGGGGGCGACGCGGTGGCAGGGCTGTGGAGGGTGGGGGCGCTGTAGAAGCGGGCAGGAGCCAGGGGCGGGGGCGTGAGGGGGAGGGGGCTGGGGAGGCGGGTAGGGGGCTGGGGAGGCGTGCAGGGGCGGGGCCGTGGAGGGTGGGGGCGGGGCTGCGGTGGGTGAACGCCGGCCCCAGCTCCCCGAGGTCCCGGAAGGGATGGGCGTTGGGGTGTGGGAAGGGAGTGGGCGGGGCGGGAGGGACGGACGGCGGTGGATGCGGGGCGTGGTTTGGGGACCGGGTGCGAGTGCTGGCGTTTTCGGCTCCGGAAGCTAACGTGGCGGCTTCGAGGTGAGCATTGCTCCTGGATCCACGGTGAGCGTGACGAGACAGGCACCGCTCCACATCCGCAAGTGCCGACCCTTGACCTCTGTCAGCCTCTCTGCTCACAGGGGAGGGGCCCAGGGAGGCCACACGCCGGAGGGGACGGCGCTGGGAGAGCCACAGCTGGACCGAGCTGCGGGAGAGGAGAGGGAGGATTGAGGAAGGTTGGAGTGTGCCTGGAGGCTTGGGGCTCTGTGCCCCACCCGCTGCCCGGCAGAGGAGGGCAGGGGGTGCCGCAGACGGACACGGCTGGCGCCTGCGGCTTGTCCTGTTGGCACTAAGGAGAGTGCCTGGCTACGGGGCTGGGGAGCCACTGAGCCTACGGTGACCTTGCCCGGGAGGGCGTGGGGCGGGACGGCCGCGGCCTTGCCCTCGCCTCTGCTCCCATCTCCAGGACCACCGCCCACCGAGGTGCAGCCGGGCAGTGGCTGGGCTGTGGCTCTGAGCCAGTCTCCGCGCTAACCGGAGGTCCCACCAGCTGTGGCCAGGCCCTTCCTAGTGAAGCCCCCTGGAGGCGAGCCCCTGCTCACGTCCCTGTGCCCCGCAGCCAGAGGCTGCCCGAAGCTTCAGTTGGCACCCCCGCCCCCCCTTCACAAGTTTCTGACCAGCTACGTCTGACAGTCTGAAACGCTCAGCTCCTTGCTGGCCCCCAAGACGCCCTGGCCTGTGGGTTTGCACAGATGGCCCTGGTGTTCACCGCAGCCAGTTGGTGGAGGTTCGGGTCCCTCACTGCCCCGTCGTGCCCACCAGCGGGTCCTGCTCGGGACTGCACCTCCCAGCATCTCTCCTGCTCAGCCTCACGAAACCATATGACCAGAAACCAGAAACCATGTGACCCGGCGTGTGTTGTTCTGGGCAGGTGGGGCCTGGGTCCCCCGGTTCAGATCTTCGTTTCTCCCCTGGCGCTGACCTGCACCCTCGCTGAGAGGACTTCGGGTTGGGGGTCAGACTGAGGAACGGCCGGCAGGTGGCGCCGTCGGCCCATCTGCTCTACGGGGTCAGAGGGTAGAATTTTAGGGATTAGGGAGTTTCACCCCAAAGAGTGAACCTGGATCAGGATCCAAAGATGTGGCAGAATGACTGTGATCTCTCCCCGGGCAGGAAGGTGAAGAAGAACAGAGTGGACCTCAGGGAAGTGGCCGCCTGGGCCGGGCTTGAGGTGGCCGAGTCCAGCCCCTGTGGTGGGGGGCGGGGGAGGGGGTGCTGTCCACCAGCTGGGCCTGCAGTTAAGGGGTGACTCCGTTTTTAAGCTACTGGGTGCTACTTGCTGTGTCCAGTGGCAGCCGAGCCGTGGGCCCTGCTGACCAGGAGCCGTGCTTGGGCTGGTCTCTGACTCAACCTGCTGTGACTTCGGCGGGTCCTTGCTAGCTTGCAGAGAGCTTTCGCACACTTTCCACCTTAACTCCACAGACCTCCGTTTTTTGCTCTGTGAAATGGGAACACTGATAGAATGAGCTGGTATTTATTAAGAGCCCACTGTGCCAGCACATGAGTCCCCTGGATCACAGGCTGCCCTTTGAGCAGGAGTGTGATTCCCAGCACTCAGGATCCTCTGTCCCTCCTCCGGGGTGCTTGCCCTGGACCCTCTCCTGTGTCCCTCCTCCAGGGTGCTTGCTCTGGTTCCTCTCTGAGCCCTGCTGCACACCTCACCCCAGGTCCCCCGCCTCATCTCCCGCTTCCACCCAGCACCACCCGCAGCCTAGTGGGCAAGCTGGTGGTCAACTCGTCTGTGTCCCTGTGCTTCATCTGGGAGGCTGGCTTCACCTGGCGGAGCCTTCCTGCTGGGGTGGCTGCTGTCCCCTCCAGCACGGCATGCACAGGTGCTCAAAAAAACAGTGCCGGGAGGAGGGGAGGAAGGAAAACCAAGATGGGCTGGCTTGTTGCCCTAATTCTAAGATGCTCCCACTGTGTGACTCCCTGTCCTGAATTCCCAGGCCTCAGGGTCCTCCTGTTAGATACCGGGTGGGGTGTGCCCTTGTCGTGGGACTGGGAGGGGGACTGTTCCCCGGGGCAGGATGCCCACCCTGGGGACGGGAGGTTGAGGGACACAGAATGCTGGAGAAAGCTGCGTGCGTGTCCAGACAGCCACACGCCTGGGTGCTGGGCCTGGGCCCCTGACTGGGCAGGTGCCCTGGGGGTGGAGGGCAGAGGTGGGCACTGCTTCCTTTTGTGGGGAGCGGCTCTCAGACAAACCCGGAGAACAGGTTTGTCCACCCCCGTGGCCGCCCCGGAGGCCTGGAGGCCCAGAAATGCCCCTCACTGCACCGACTGGCACTCACGTGCGGTGGCACACACACAGAGTGGGCGTGGGGTGGGGGCAGCCTGGGGAGGGGAGGGAGGCCCCGGGTGCAGATGGGCAGCACCTCCAGGACCGAGCAGGGGACCCCCGCCAGCCCCTCGAGCAGAGACCTCGTTCAGCCAAGCAGTGGTCCCACAGCAGGAGGCTCGGTAGCTGGGGTCAGGACAAGGGGCCAGAGTGCAGAGCCCAGGTTGGGGGCCTGGGCTTGCCTGCGAGGTCGTGTCAGTGGTTCCAGGGCATAGGCGAGTGGCTGGGGCCAGTGCATCCCTGTGCTCGTCAGGGATGGGACTGTCTTGGCAGAGTTGCGTGTCCGACGAAGCAGAGTCCGCCTGGGGTTCTGGGGCTCTGGCCCATGGTCAGGGTTTCAAGGGAGCCAGGACAGGAGTCTGCACTTGGGGGGCCGAGGAAGGTAGGGGCAGAGCTAAGAAATCAAAGCTCAGAGAGACTGTGCCTTGTTCAAAGCAGGCACCCGGTGATCCCAGGTCTGTCTGGCCCCACATCTGTACCCCAGTGGTTCTGTCTGTTGCTGGGTGGGGGTGGCTGTCCATGTATGCGTGGCCGTCATCCTGGGCTGAGCCGCTTGGGCCCAGGGAAGAGATGATCCAGGAGGACTTCCTGGATGAGGAGGCTTTGCACCAGCAGAAGGAGAGGGAGGGCTCTATCCAGAGAAGAGGCTGGGGTGATGGGTCACCCTCCTGGCCTCCCGTGGGGGTCGGGGGAGAAAGGAAAGGAGGGAAAGAAAGGCCAGGCCCCCGCGGCGTGGGGTGCCCCGAAGTGTGGGGACTCATGGGCACCAGGAGGGCCAGACAGGGAGGCCTCCGCAGGGCCATGGGCCGGGCGGGGTGTTGAGAGCAGCACAGAAAACCCGTACGTGCACTCCACTCACTCCAGCCAGGGGAGCGGCCTCCATCCCGGGAGCAGGGAGGTCAGGCCCTGTCCTGGGGCCATTTCCTGGGTGGCCACTTTCGAGAGACCGTGTGCTGGAGCCTCCTCGGAGACACCCTCCTGTGGCGCCACTGCCTTCGTCCTAGCGGGGACCCGGTTGCCGCGTCTGCGCAGCAGTACGATCCTGGGGGATCCTGGGTAGGTCCGTACCTTTCCTGGGCTTCGGTTTCCGGGTCTGCTGGGTGGGCCCTGGGGGGCTTCAGTGCCGCATCCAGTTGGTTCTGAATGCGGGGTTGGCAGATTTGTCCCAACTCACAGAGATCGGTAGCTGCCAAGGGCACCAGCACACCCCCACCCCGCTCCTCTGGCCACCTCACGTCAGTGAACCAGAAGGAGGCGTGCGGGATATTTTAGTTAGCGGGGCCCCAGCGCAGCCCACTGTGGCCCAAGTGTGCCGGGGTCCCCCCGCAGGCGGAGGGCAGTGGGAGCCCCGGGCCCGCTGGAGGCCAGTGGGCAGGAGCTGAGGCCTCCAGCGACAGGCTCTGGGTGTTTCTGCCCCTGCCCACGCCGTTGTGGCTCATTTATCAGACAGGTGTGACCTACCAAAACGTGTCACCAAAGGCCAGGGCCGAGTGGGGACCTGATGGGGTGCAAGTTGACCGTTGTATTTGGTAGCTCTGGGCATGTGGTGGGGGTGCCCACCCTTACAGGTCAGCGCCGCGTCCCTGCCCCACCGTCCCCTGCAGCACTGGACTCTTCTCTCCCTGTGCCAGAGCCTTCAGAGGCTCCCCAGCACCCGGAGGAGAGAGTTCTAGGTCTGACCTTGGCACTGGAGGCCCCTGCGGATATTGTGAGCACCTCGAAGAGTGGGGATGCGGGAATACAGGTGCCCTGTTTGGTGACCCCTGGCCCCACCCGGGAGGCCGTCTGCAGGTACCGTCTTGTCCAGGACCGTCCCGTGACTCAGTCACAATATCACTCGTCCCCCACCCCGCTGCATGTGTCTCCCCAGGCATAATCCCTGTTCACGGTCTTTTACGACCGCCAAGGGACTACTTTGCTGCCTGCTTCCTTAAGATGTGAGCCCTGTGAGTGTGGCACTTCCGGGGGATCACTGTGGTGCTCCCCATTCCAGAAGGGGCATCACAGGTTTTCCTGAACAAACACAGAAAGGAATGACCCCCATTTCAGTGCTGAGGGCAGGAAGGGGTGCCCCCAGACAGCTGCCCTTGGGATGGAGGCCGGCAGCATCCTTGGCGTCTTCTCCCATCTCCTCCTGTCCTCCCTCTGTGGCCCGGCAGCAGAAGAGACCTTCCAAGGTGGCCTGGGGTGCCTTCGGGTGAGGAGGAGCCTGGTGGGCAGGACTCTTAGAAGGTGTCTCCTCTCAAAGTCTCCGCTGGAGATGGTGCTCCTGGTGCCCTGTTGTGCCTGCGGGATAGCACGTGTCCCCAGGCTGTCCACAGGGGTGGGGGCAGTGGGTGAGCACGGGTGCAATTCTTCCAGCCTCGCTTGGCCCTGGGCCCCTGCCTGGGAGCACCAAAGCAGGGGAGGGGAGCTCATGCATCAGCTTGGGCAGCTGGAGGAGGCATTCAGGGGAGGCCAGGCCCGTGGGCTCGGAACCTACCACCGTCTCTAATAAGACAGTAGCATTTTGTGGAGGGGGCCGAGGATGGGGGACAGGTCTGCAGACTGTGGGCGAGGGTGGGCCTGGGTGCAAGCGTCTGGCCCTGTCCCCAGGTTGGTCTAGAACCCTATGGGCAGGGCTGAAAGCCTTGGGCACCCCAGGGGAGTGCAGCACAGAGCATGGAGTGGGGCAGGGGACGGCCAAGGTGGCCCCAGGTGGGGCATTTCCCCCCCCTGGAGCCTTTTTCCTGCCTTGTGCAACATGGGGGTGACACGTTCCTACTGCCTTTTGTTCCCACAACCGCTCCTGTGCCCATGCCTGTCCCGGCCCCCCCTCTCCCAGGCGGGAGCCCCCCCCTCCAAGCCCTGTTACTCTCAGCTTGGCCTTACCCAGGCCTGCTCTGTGTCGTGGCTGCCCAGCACCCCTGCGCCCCCACCCTGGGCCCGACACCCTCGTGGCACTAACGTCTTTGCTGCCCAAAGACCCTGGGGTCTGCTTCCCATCCCTCCCCGTCCGTCCCTCACCGGTGGCTCCAACGACCAGTCCTCCCTGCCCTGCCCTCAGCCATGTGCCCACCCTTGAGCAAACCCTTTTCAAGAGGGTGAGCTTCCTCCCCACTTCCTCTCCCCCCACTCCCTGCTGTCCACCCCGGCCCAGAACACAGCACCCCCATGACCAGGTCTCCCAGCATGTGGTCTTCAGTGCCCCCCCTGCCCCCCACCCAGGCCTCGTGGGGCCTCCTTGGCCCCCTCGCGGGCTGCTCTGGCCTGCCCGCTTCCACACCTTCACCCAGCCGGCCACCCCAGGTCCTGGTGGGGTCCGGATGTGCTGTTGGCAGAGGCCTTGAATGGTGCAGTCATGGTGGATGTTCACGGCCTGAGGGGCCGGCAGAGGGAGACGAGGCTTCTGATGTGTTGTTGGCTATGTGCCCGTCCAGCACTGGGATGTGGGAAGCCACCGCCAGCCTCCTCTGGGGGTGGGAGGACTGAGGGAGGAGCTGGAACAGGTGTCCCCGGCTATGGAGGTGCCCTTCAGTTGAAGAGTGTGCTCCCTCAGCTGCCCCAGGTGAATCCTGGGAGGACTGGGACACGAAGGTCCTAGCCAGCCCTGGGCCCACGGACCAGAGGGCCCTTCCTGCCACAGGGGTTTTGCTGTCCCTGGGCTGTATGCTTCCTTTTTAATCCCCCTGTGCTGTGGCGTGGAGACGAAACTACTGCCCTGAAGATCCCCCCTGGAGCTGCCTGTTGGGCCCAAGTGACCCTCCCGAGTGGAGAGGGTGGGGTTCAGGCAGGAGGGGCATTGGGGCCCAGTCTGCTGGTAGGTTGTGGGTTCTTCCCGGGATCATCTTTGTGGGGTGAAACCCGGTTATTTTGGCCCTGCCCCGATGGGGTGTTGTTCCTGGTACAACATGGGAAAGAGTCCCTGGGGGTGGGGGTCCCAGAGCGTGAAGACTGGGAGGGGCCTGTGTCTGCTCACCAGGCTGGGCTTCTCCCTGAGACCTGCCCAGTTCCTCAGTAATCTCTTCTGCAGGCCTCGGGCGCAGAGAGCAGCGGGGACCCCTCCTCACCACGTCTCGACCCCACTCTTGACTGATAATGGATTGCCATTTGCCCATCCGGTCCCCCCTTAGGTGCGTCTTGTGGGTTTTTGTGGGTTTTTGTGGGGTTTTTTGTATTTTTCAGCATGGATAGTGTTACTTCGCTGCGATTTTTAAAAATCCGTATTGGCAGTGCACAGGGTGGTCTCCGGACCCCTTTCCGATCTGAGCAGCTGTCGGGGACCCCGAAGTGTGTTGTGCAGTGGAGCCTGAGCTGCTCGCACCGGCTCATGAGCCGGCTATGAGGTCTCCGGTAATTCTGAGAGCGGGTTGTCACACGCGGCCGTTATTAAAATCAAATTAAACTAATTAAATTATGTAAAACATATAAATTATAAGAAAAGCAAGGTAATGAACACTCTTGCTTCCTGATTATTCACATCTTGCTGTTATCTGCGCCCCTATCTTGTAGCTCACGCCTGTGCCCTCCGCCCAGCGGAAGTGCGGGAGGACCGGACGTGACCTGGTTTCCTCCCAGCTGGAAACTGGCTGCCGCGGGCGTATTCACGTGGAAATTGGCAAACACCGCCCATCAGGGCTTTCACCCCCACGGGGCTGGTTGGTAAATCTGGATCAGCACATCCCTGGTTATTAGCACTTGACATTTACTACGTTAGATATTGAGACTAATCATTAAAAACATTTTGTTGATGCAGTCTCGCTGAATAACAACCAAGTGATTACGTGCGAACATAAAGAACATTTTTTGTATTTTATGGAAGTAGGGTTGACGTGCGGTCTGACATTAGTCCTTAGTTTCAGGTGCCCAGCATAGTGACCGGGCAATTGTGTAAAATACTCAGGGCTCGCCGCCATCATGTTATTACAATCTACTGACCGTGTTCCCCGTGCTGTACTTCCCACCCCTGTGACTCCTTTATCTTGTAACTGGAAGTTTGTGCCTCTTAACCCCCTTTATCCATTTTCCCCATCCCCCCACCCGCCTCCCCTCTCACAACCGCCTGTTCTCAGTACTTACGAGTCTGTTTCTTTGTTCGTTGGTTTGGGGTTTTAGATTCTGCGTGCGAGTGAACTCGTATGGCTTTTGTCTTCGTGTGGCTGCCTTATTTCGCGTAGCGTAACGGGCTGTGGTTCCCTTCGTGTCGCTGCACGTGGCCAGGTTTCATTCTTTTTATGGCTGAGTAATATTCCCGCGTGCGCGCATGCCCGGTCCTTCTCCGTTCCCCAACGGGTGGACGCCAGAGGGCGCTCGCACACCTTGGCTGTTGTAAACGGTGCTGCGGTAAACTTCGGGGTGCGTGTACCTTTTCGAATTAACGTTTTCATTCTCTTTGGGGAAATACCCAGTAGCATTCCTATTTATAATTTTTGAGGAACCTCCATATTGTTTTCCACAGTGGCTGCACAAACTTAGGTTAATATAAATAGTTTTTCATGCAAATAACTTTCTTCCCCCAAAACGAATTCGGCAAGAAGAGCGGTATTGCTTTGTCTTGTCGCGAGTGTCCGGAACGGGGGGCAGGAGGAAGGGGGCCGGGCTCTGGATGCGCTGCTGCGCCGTGGCCGCCACAGCGTGCGTTCACAGCGTGCCCGTCGGGGTGGAAAGCTCTCAAGGAGACCCACCTCCTTGCACGCAGGCATGTGCGTCCCTCGCCGCCGTGGCAAAGCCACAGAGACGATGACGCTTGGCGGAGGTGGTGGCGGGTGAAAGCCCGAGCCTGGCAATGCCCGTTTGGGGTTCTGTTACGTGAGCCCCGTCGGTGGGTCTTTGGCTGTGAGTGGATCTCTACCTGGGCAGGATTTGGAGCATCTGGAAGCCGCTGGTCGCTGAGTGCGGCAGAGAGTTCCCGCACGTCCACGCGTCGCGTGGTCTCTCCTGAACGTCGCCACTGCTGCCGTAAGAAAAAGCCTCAAATATTCGGAAGCCGTCAGACTCGCAGTGGTGGATACACATTCTCCAAAATGCTCATTTTTACCGAAGCGCAAATTTCATCGCTGGCAACGGACCTCATCACGCGGTCGTCACTTTGCTTTTAGGTGGCAGGCTCGCCGTATGCGCTTTGGAGAAATCCGCCGCCAGATGTTGCACACGCCCGTGCCTCCCAACAGTCTGTCTGCCGTGGTTCCTTCCAGCAAAGACTGCTGCCTGCGCCTCGCGGCCCGCGGGCCTGGCATCTGCCGCCGGAGCCCCTCCTCTTGAGAAACCCCTGGCTCTCTCACACAGGATACGGGCAAGAGCTGAGGTTTCACAAAATTCACGTTTTGGAATTTCGCAGGGCAGCGGCTTCTTCTGTGTTTCGATCTGAGTGTGCGGTGACAGGGGGCCTGACGGGACGACCCAGGGCCATTTGGAGCCGCTGCCTGGCTCTGTGCTGGCTGTTATCCACCGTTGCACAGATGTGGGCACGGGGAGGAGCGGGGTGGGGGGTTAGTATGGAAATAGCGCAGACTTCTGCCCCCGGGGGTTCTGGGACACCAGGGGCTCCGTGGGCCTCACGTTGGAAGCACTGCTCCCCCGCACGCCTTGTTCTGGTCTCTGCTTCCTCCGCTCAATACTATGCTCTCAAGACGCTGCTCGTCCCCACGGACCTCACGCCGTGTGTTTATTCCATGTGTGCGTCCCCCAGCGGTCAGGGCTGCTGGGAACATCTTCCCCCACTCCTCGGGGGCCAGTGCCAAGCTGGCTGAGTGACCCCCCACTCTTACCTGGGGCTTGACCCTTGACAAAAGCCCCTCCCTCGGGACCTAGCGTGAGGGCTCAACTCGGTGAGACCAGCCCTTGGGCCAGCTCACTCCTGCCCACCCTCCGTGAGCGGGGGGCCGGGGCAGGGCGCTTCCCACCACGGCCTCGGAGTCAGGGCTGCTGGGTTCTCTGTGCGACGTGCCCGGCCTGGCTTTGGGCGGCTCAACAGCTTGGGGGGGGGGGGTTGAGTGGCCCCCTCATCATCTGTGTTCTCATCCGCTAAGTCAGGGGTGGGTAGAGGGTCCAGCTTCAGACTGGCCAGCCACGGGGGTGCCCTGACCTGCCTCCCCGTCACTGGGGCCCCTCCATCGGAGGCTGTGCTGGAGAGGCAAGGTTGTAGGAACCGGTGCCAGGGGGCGCTGGCGGGCAGCGAGGTGCCCTGCTGGAGAGGAGACCCGTCAGGCAGCACTAGGGAGTCAGGGGGAAGGGACGGCTGGAGTGGAGGACTCTGGCTACTGGGTCCCGAGACGAGGAAGGGGCTGGGGGGGCAGGCAGACCGTCTCCTTGATTTCCAGATCCCTCATCGTATGAGATTTTCAGGCCCTCAGACCAGGTGTCCAGCCCGGGTGGGACCCCAGGGGGAAAGTGGGCAGTGGGTCTAGAAAAAGTCAGGTGGGATGTCTGGAGTCTGGTGGCTGGTGGGGCCTGGGGCTGGGAAGGAGCGGACGCCCTGTCGATACATCCCCGCCTCCAGAGGCCGGGGCTCCCACCTCTGCCTGGCTCCCCACCCCTGGGGTCTTTCTGAGCCAGGGGACGCCCATGGAGTGACACAGAGGATGTCGGGAGCAGGCCGGGGCTTGCGGTGGCCCCCGGGGAGCTCCTCTGGCCAGCCGGCCGCTCTGCAGGGCGCGGTAGGGGCGCTGCGGACATTGGCGGCGAGTTGTCAGGGGCGGAAGTCACTGAGGGTCCACGCCGGCCCTCCCTGTGGGCAGGGCACTACGGACTGACAAGTGCAGGCCAAACGGCAACCACTTTGTCCTCTGGGGGCTCCGCGGGCGGGGGCTGGCCATTTTGTGGAGGTGGGCGTACCTCTGGGCATGAGCACCGCGCCCTTGGCACTTGGGCTCGGGGCTGGGCCGCTCTCTGGCCTCTCTGGGCCTGGGCTGTATGCCTTGATTAAACAGGCCGATGCTGGAGGACAGGGGTCAAGTGGACCCAGCCTGGCACTGAACGATGTCATCCATGACCGGTCACCCATGGGCAGTGGCCAGTTCCCAGGACTCGACGTTGGCATCTGGATGGGGGTCTGAGCAGGCTGAAGGCCTGGCACCAGAGGGCCCCCCTCCTCGGCCTGGGGCTCTGCGAGGAGGAGCAGGCCTGGCTGGGGACAGCCCCACAACACCGTCAGCTGGGGCTCCTCCCACCCGCGGCCCCCACCCCACAAGGCTGCCGACCCCGCCGCAGGCCCGTGGACTGTAGGGGCCGGGCGTGTCCGAGGGGTGCCACGAGGGGCCCTGGCGTGGTCTGAGGGGCAGGGGCGGGTGGTGAGGGGCTCAGCTCACACGGCAAGGTGCAGCCGGGCCCGTGCCAACGGCTGACCTCATGGTCCTCAACGGCCTTGTCTCGGCTTGCGGTGTGGTGCTGTTGCCTAATTAGGTTCTACCGCGCCAGTCCTGCCGAGCCCCACGCCCGGCCTGTGCTTGCAGACGTGTTCAGGCACGGATCCTGGGCTCCCGTAGCAGCAGGAAGCCGCCGTGCCTACTCGGAACCCGGCAGTAGCCGGCTGAGACGGTGGCAGGAGCTTGCTCTGGCCTCGTGGGCTGTGTGGCCGGCGGCCTCGGGTGAGCTTGGGCCGGGGGACCCCACAGCTTCGGGTGAACCTGGAGCCAGGGCGTCTGGAGGGGTGACTGGGAGTGGAGGGCGGGCCTGTGAGAGGCTGTGGCAGGCACAGCAGGGCTGGGGCCGGAGGGGGCCCGTGAGTCCTGGCGCCCTGGCCTTCAGGCTGCCTGGTGCCCACGCCCCGTGCTCTTCGGGGGCGTAGGACCCCAGGGAGCTCCTGGCCGGCTAGTTCTAGGTCAGTTGCTGGTCTTGGATGGGGTAGGCCGGGTGGAGGCCGAGGGGCTGAAGTAGGTGGGGGTGAGGGAGGGATAGACCCCCGGGGGGGGGGGCGGAGGGAGCCCCAGAGGCCTGGGCCTCAGGAGAGTCACACGCTAAGCCTGACCCATGGGGACCTCGGGGGAGGGTCTGCCCACCTTCGGTTCATTTGCCTACTTGGGCAGAGCATGTGGCTCTGGGCGGCTGGAGGGGCCAGGTATCCTGATGTCCACCCGGGGGCCAAGCCCAGAAGCTCTGTCCTGGGCCCAGTGGCCTCCCACCTTGGCCTCTGCGGCCTCTCTCTAGCCCCCAGGGAGGAAGAAGTCTCTGGAAGGAGCTGGTCCAACGTGTGTGGGGAGGTGGATGGATGGAGTGGGGGCTCCAAGTAGGAGAGGAGCCTGCGCACAGGCCGGTGGGACTAAGACTTGGGGAGGGGGCACCAGGAGGCAGGTGGAGCCTGGGCCACTCAGGGGCTCGGACACCAAAGTGGCTCGATCTGCTGCATAGACCCACAGGTGGCCTGAGCCGCCGGGCTGGGGGTGACGGTGCCGTGGGAGCCGAGGGCTGTGGAAAGGGTCCAGGGGCAGCCTCCTCGGGCCGCTCCTGTGGCCCGGGGCCACCCCTCTGAGGCCCAGGGCTGGCGAGCACCCCCCAGCACCATCGTGGCAGAAAGGGCTGACTGGTGTCTGGGAAATGCTACCTGTTTTGCCTTTGAACTTCATCGAGTTCAGGAAAAGTCCCAGCACAGAACAGCAGTCGCTCTTTAGTGATGGAGCCATTGCTACGGTTACCAGCCCCCTGGCTTCACCCACTCCTCACCGGGGGGGGGGGGGGGGAAGCGTTTATCCCTGAGGGGTGGTGAGCAGGACGGCCATACAGCGGTGCCCTGCAACCCCACCCTGGCATTGGCCTGGATGCCT